AACTGAAGGAGAGGGAGAAGGCAAATCGCCTCTCCTCATTATGCACTACACGCTTCAGGTGCTGAGACCTCAGAGCGCCTCGCTGCTGCTGCTGCTGCCGCGCTACTGCTGCTGCGGTGCTGCTGCTGCTGCCGTGCTGCTGCTGCTGCTGCTGTTGTTGCTCTTCTTGTGGCAGCACTTTTGCTGTGGCTGCTGCCGTCCCGTGCTGCGGTTGTTCGTCGGGCGTTGCAGCTGTGGCCAGCATCTAGCACTCCTGCTGCTGCTGCTGCTGCTGCTGCTGCAGGAGCTAGACGGAGCAGCAGAGGCGCTACAGCAGCTGCACCACCGCTGCTGCTCCTTGACCCTCCGCTTCTTCCAGGTGTATTGGCAGCACTGCTTTGAGCTGCTGAAGAAATGCGACTTCGACAGAGACGCAGCACTGATGGTGAGCTGCTGCTGCTGCTGCTGCTGCAACTGCAGTTGCTGCTGCTGCTGCAGTTGCTGCTGCTGCAGTTGGCGCTCTCGCTGTTCTGGTTGCTGGTGCTGCTGTTGTTGCTGTCGCTCTCGCTGCTTTTGATGCTGCTGCTGCTGCTGCTGCTGCGGTGTTCCTGCTGGAGCATTCCCTCGTCCTTTCGTGTGTCGTTGCCGCCGCTGCTGCTGTTCTCTCTCGCCGTCCCCTCGCACGCTCTGCCTTTGCTGCTGCTGCTGCTCCTGCTGCTGCTGCTGCTGCAGGAAGAAGGGTCCCTGTTAGGGTGCGCGTGGCGGCTGAAGCTGCAGCGACTGTTTGGCCTTTTAGCTGCGCATTTCAGCCGCTGGTTTGACCTCAAGGGGCAGGCCACGCTGTGTGACTTGCTGCTAGACCTCGTCAGCCTGCTGCTGCTGCTGCTGCTGCTGCTGCTGCTGCTGCTGTAGCTGTTGTTGCTGGCTGGCGGCGGTGGCGCTGCTTCAGTGCCGGGCCCAACTGCAGCGGTTGTCACTGGACCTGCAGCAACTGCTCGTAGGCGACTTGGCTTTGCAGCACCCCAGGTGCTCCAGCTGCTGCTGCTGCTGCTGCTGCTGCTGCAGGTGGTGAAGAATCTGGAATCCGGACTGCTGGAGAAGACCTACAGCGCCTCGGGGGGCATTTTGGCCAACCAAGAAACTCGCAATCTTTGCTTGGTGGTGCAGCGGCTGAGTTTGAGTCCTGCTGCTGGCAGCAGCAGCAGGCTGCAGCAGCAGGAAGCTGCTGCTGCTGCTGCAGCCAGTAGGTGCTCGTTCTTCGACGACTTTGAAGACGAAGAGGAGACCCTTGAGGGCGTAGAGATTAACTACCCAGAGCCAGTGAGGTCCAAGGTAAGCTCCTGCTGCTGTTGCTGCTGCTGCTGCCGCTGCTGCTGCGACGGCGGCGGCGGCTGCTGCTGCTGCGGCGGCTGCTTCTCCTGCTGCTGCTGTTGGTGCGGCTTATTGCAGCAGCGGGCTTTCCTCCTTGCTGCTGCGCCACTGGCTGCTGCTGCTCCGTGCAGTCTGAAGGCCTGCTGCGCTGCCTGCTACTACCGCACTGGGCTGCTGCTGTTGTTGCAGCAGAAGCAGCAGCAGCAGGGGAAGATGGCTGTCGCTGCTGCTGTTTTGCTGCGCCGCAGTTCTGCCGCCTATTTGAGATAGGAGAGCTTCTCAGCCTTCCCTCTCTTAACGAAGTCTCTGAGCTGCTGGGTGCGCTGCTGCTGCTGCTGCTGCTGCTGCTGCTGCTGCTGCTTTGGCGTTGCTGCTCTAGACGCAGTTCTTGCTGGTGCTGTTGCTACGCAGTGAAGCTGGCTGCTGCTGCCACTGCTGCTGCTGCTCCAACGGCTGCCGCATCTTGCCTGACAGCAGAGCTTGGTGCAGCTGCTGCTGCATTTGTCTTTGCTGCTGTTGCTGCCGCTGCCGCTGCTGCTGTTGTGCCTCAGGAGAGATAGAAGGCGGGCGATCTTTACTCACTCTTGAGGAAATTAAAACAGTCAGCTGCTCCTGCGGCTGCTGATTTGCTTCCTATGCTGCAGCAGCTGCTGCTGCTTCTGATTTTGCTGCTCCTCTGAAGGCCACTAGCTGCATTGCTGCTGCCAGCATTTTGCTTCTCGTGCTCAATGTTAATGGTTGTGCTGCTGCTGCTGCTGCTGCTGCTGCAGGTACTGCGGCTTCGGGTCGACTTTGGCGAAAAAGAGATTGAAGAGACACTGCGGTCAGTAAAAGCTGCTGCCACGTGAGCAGCAGCAGTAGCAGCAGCAGCAGTAACAGCAGCAACAGCAGCGGCAGCGCCGATTCCTGCTGCTGCGGCAGCGGGCGCTCTGTGCTGCTGCCTGCAGCAGCAGCTGCTGCTGCCCTTTTAGCTGTTTGCTTCTGCACAGTGTACGGGCCTGTGACTACGGGCCTGTGACTACGGGCCTGTGACTGCCCGTGGCCATTGCTGCTGCTGCTGCAGCATCCGCGGCAGCAGCAACTGCAGCACCAGCAGCAGCTGCTGCAGCGACTGATACTGCTACTGCACTAGAGGAAGCAACCGGCTTGCACTGTGCAAAGCTTTTGCCGTTGCAGCTGCAAAAGCTGCGACTGCTGCAGCTGCTGCTGTAGCAACTGCTCTCTCCTACACCTGCAGAAACTGCTGCTGCTGCTGCTACTGCTGCTGCTGCTTCTGCTGCTGTTTGTTGCGTAGAGAAATGGCATTCTAACAGCAAGAGCCACAGCAGCAGCAGCAGCACCAGCGACACCAGCAGTAGTGCGTAGGGCTGCAGCCAATTTCATGGTACGCAGCCGAATAGAATTAAATGCCGCTGCTGCGGCAGCTGTTCCTGCAGCAGCAGCAGCTGCTGCTGCAGCTGCAGCAGCTGCGGCAGCAGCAGCTACTGCTGCCGCTGGACTGGGTTCGAAATATGTTCTTTACAATTACGGCTCGAGGCGTCATTTATCAAAATGAGCAGCTTTGCTGCTGCTGCAGCCGTCTGTTCCGTTGCTGCAGCTGCAGCACCGAGAGTGGCTGCTGCTGCTGCTGCTGCTGCTACTGCAGCATTGCGTTGTTGCTGGCTGCGGCTGCCTTAGCCACATCGGCAGCAGCAGCAGCAACAGCAGCAAGCGCTGTTGCTGCTCGTCAGTCGAAGGGGCCTGGCATCTGCTGCTGCCAAGAGCAATACCTGCGGAGGATGACTAGCAGGGGTTGCTGCTGCTCGTCTGCAGCAGCAGCAGCAGCACATGCTGACAAGGGCGGTAGGCGAAGCAGTTACCACAGCAGGTAGGCCACTGGCAGCAGAAGCAGCTGTCTGCCACTGCTGCTGCTGCGCGATCTGTAAACAGAGCTGTAAGGCTGCAGCAGCCCTTGTGACTGCTGCTGCAGCGGCTGCTGCTGCAGCAACAGCTGCTGCTGCTGCTGCTGCTGCTGCTGACACTGATGAAAACAGAAAAGACGGGGAGTTTTCGAAGACCATGGTTTTGCGTTGCCATTGCAGCTAGGCATCTTGTGTTGCCGCTGCTGCTAGACATCTGGTGCTGCTGCTAGGCATCTGCTGCTGCTGCTGCTGCTAGTTTGTTGTTGTTGCTGCTGCTGCCGGGGGGTTTAGCTGTTTGGTCTCCTCGTCGGTGTCGCCGCCGTCCCAAAAGGGCTCATCTTCTTCTATATCCATTTTGTTAAGAGATTCGTGGCTGCTGCTGCTGCTGCTGCTGC